AATTTAGTAATGAAAAATTAATCATTTACTAAGTATGAAAATACAATTATTAAGCATAATTTAAATGTGGTTATAAGTCAAGAATACAGCATTTGTAGCTGCAGTTATAAACTGCTTACTAACGTTTATTAATGTAGAGTTAATGCTTAACGGATAATGAATTCACTATTTGCTAATGCTTAATAAATGATTTATAGTGTGTAATTATTATTAAGTGTTACTGATATATATATATATGAAGATATGGAAAATCATACAAATGCTGAACATTTATGTTCAATGTTCAATTATGTTATGTGTATAACAAATCCCTTTTATGTTATTCAACATGTATTTGTTCAGACTGAGAGATATTTGATCAGCTTTTGTTAAACGTGTCTCTCCTGTGTTGTTATAACGAATGCCATTATAATCTGTGTTTAACCTATTTATTTGTTTGCATATTTTGAGATTTTTTTTCGTGTTCTAAATTAAACTAAAGGATTTAGAAATCGAACGTTTTTTTTTCACCCCAACACAATTCAGTAGGGCACTATAGGGAACAGGGAACTTCATTGAACATTTGCAGCCTACCATTTGCTTCTCACCATGTATTGTAGACATCTTTTCTAAAGCACACCGTATAGTGCAGACGGTGCTGTAGGCTAGCTTTAACAGCAGATGGCGCTCTAAACACACTCGACTCTGAACTAACTCACTCCTGATGTACCTCAGACATTACTGATGATGACTGCATTAATCCAACTAACCTGCGCTATTTCTGTTCTTCCTCTTTTCTTCATCACTCATTCACACACACACACACACACACACACACTTACTCACAAACTGATGCACACGCATTTACTCTTACACACACGTTCACTCTCGCACACACTAAATCCCTCACTCACACACTCAAACATTAACACTCATGCATTTGCACGCACACACACACACACACACACACACACACTCATTTTCTCACGCATACACTAAATTCATCACTTACACACACACACACACTCACACACACAAATTGACACATGCTTGCACACACTCGCACACACATTCACTCATACACACACACACACACACACACACACACACACACACTGACACATGCTTGGACACATGCACACACATTTACTCTTACACACACACAAACTGACACGTGCTGGCACACACTCTCACACGCACACACATTCACTCAAACACCCACACACACACACACATGCACCCACACACACACACATGCACAAACACACACTCACTCACACAAACACTCACGCACTTGCACTCACTTTCTCACGCATACACTAAATTCCTCACTTGCACACACACACAAACTGACACATGCTTGGACACACACACACACGCACGCACGCACGCACGCACGCGCATACACACACACACACACACACACACACACACACATTTACTCTTACATACACACAATCTGACACGTGCTGGCACACACTCACACTCGCACACACATTCACTCAAACACACACATTCACTCACACACACACCCACACACACACACACACACATGCACAAACACACACTCACTCACACAAACACTCACACACTTGCACTTACTTTCCATACACTAAATCCCTCACTTGCGCACACACACACAAACTGACACATGCTGGCACACACACAAACACACACACACACATGAACAAACACACACACACACTCGCTCACTCACTCAAACACTGACTCGCACACAAATACACTCGCTCTCTTTCTTACACATGCGCACACGCACATACATACACACACACACAAATGCACATACACAATAAATGCCTCACTCACACACACACACACATACACTAAATCACTCATACACACACACTCACTCACTTACTAAAACACTGACTCACACACACACATCTCTCACACATGCACTCACTCTCTCGCTGTCACACACACTCACTCTCTTACCCTCACTTACACACACACTTAATCACTCACACACACATTTACACAATCACTGACATACACGTATTCTCTCGCTCACTCACACCCCCTCACACACACACGTCCATCCCCCATGTGGTGTGTGTGTGTCGTCTTCATCAGTGTGTGTACTCGTCAGATGCTCTAGTGTCGGATCTGTCTCTGCCGTCGTCGCCCGTGTCCTCCACTAGAGTGCGCTGCAGGCGGCGTGTGTGTGTGCGTCAGCGCGCCGCCTCCGTCAGTCCGGCTAAGAGCGGCGCGGGCGAGCGGCGGCGGCGGGCACAGGAGGAGCGGCGGGCGGCGCTGCTGGAGGAGCGGGCGCTGCTGCTGTCGGCGCGGAAACAGAGGCTGAGTCGCCGGCGCGGGACGCTCTTCTCCTTCTCGCTGCATCTTCCAGACGTCTCGGCGTTACTGGACGATGACGGATACCTCAGTTTCCCGGATCTGACGGAGCTGCGCTTCCTGCCGCAGAGTCTGCAGCGCTGCGTGCCCGTGCGCTCGCCCTCGCTCATCCCCTGCTTCCTGTTCATCTTCTTCTTCCTGCTGTCCACCTCCTTCTCGGTGCCGTACGCGCTCACGCTCTCCTTCCCGCTGGCGCTCTGTCTGTGCTACCTGGAGCCGCGCGCCGCCAAGCTGAGCTCCGAGCTGACGCAGAGCTTACAGGACAGCTCAGAGGATGAGGAGGTGTGTGTGTGCATGTGTGCGTGTGTGTGTGTGTGTGTGTGTGTGTGTGTGTGCGTGTGTGTGTGTGTGTGTGATAGTGCTGCACGATTAATCGGATCACAATGGCGAGAAAATGTTAACATTTATTTATTTAACTTCAGTTTAGTCCCTTATTTATCAGGGGTCGCCACAGCGGAATGAACCGACAATTATTCCTGCATATGTTTTACACAGTGGATGCCCTTCCAGCTGCAACCCAGTACTAGGAAACACCCATACACACTCATTCACACACACACACTTATACACTACATGCAAGCTCCACACAGAAACACCTGACCCAGCCGGGACTCGAACCAGCAACCTTCTTTTATTATTATAATTTTTTAGGGGTTTTCAGCTTTATTGGAGATTTAGAGACAGGTATGTACAGGGAGCAGAGATTGGGGAAGGGTCGGCAAAGGACCTCGAGCCGGGAATTGAACTCAGGTAACCACAAGGCTATTGGCGCCGACACCAGCAACCTTCTTGCTTTCAGGCGACTGCACCACCGCACCGCCCGAGGTTGCAATTATATTAAATAAATAATAGCGCGTTCTTTCTGAAAACAGGTTTCCGTGCCACGAAGAACACGAACAAACAAAAAAGACGAAGGGCCCTATCATACACCCGGCGCAATGTGGCGCAAGGCGCGACGCAATACTTGTTTGCTAGTTTCAGCTCGGCGCAAGAGTCGTTTTGTGATTTGTCAGCACGCTGTTTAAATAGCAAACGCTTTTGCGCTCATATGTGCGCCCATAGGCGTTCTGGTCTAAAACAGCAGGCGTGTTTTGGCGTATTGCTGGTGCTTTGCTATTTTGAGAAACTATAAGAGATTTTTCAGTAGAGCAGATCAAAGATTTTTAGCAAAGATTATTTGATTTTTAACATAGATTTTTCAGAAGATCACACCAGACGCAGAACGCGCGGATAAATTACGCTATTCACACGTAAATAGCCGTGTGAACATTTGAGTTTACTCGCTTCATTCGTGCGTCAAATTCACTTCAGAACAGACGCGGATTCGCGTGATGGGCGGGGCTTCTGTCTGCCTGGTGACTCTAGCTGCATAGCTGAAGGGCTAACATGGATTTTATGATAAAATAACAGTGTTTATGTGCTTTATGAAGGATGATAAACAGCGTCGATACGTTTAGGGCCGTGTCTGAGTCCACTACATGCTTTCAGAGGTGCATCCAGCTCTATAAGCTCATAAACTCCTCCAGAAACTGAACCTGGCTGATGGAGGCTTTCAGCGGTGCTTCTGACTGAGCCCAGCCCAGTTTGATGAACTTCTTGTCGGTGTCTGCTGGGGGATTTCCTCTGGGACACCGACAACAGGCGATACGTCACAATCACGCCCCCACAAGAGCAAGCTTCTGATTGGTTAACACGGCGCGAATGTCTGCTGAAGTTCAGATTTTCGAACTCGAGTGATTCGCACAAAACGCGTATTATGCGCGTCAAACGCGCAAAACGCTCAATTTGCGCTACGCCATTCACGCCATGCGCACCGCGCAATTCTCGTCATTCGTGCCGCGCCATTCGCGCGTATCGAGCCGCAGGATGTCTATTCACGCGTTTTCATTGACTTAACATTTAAATCGTTCCGCGTCTGGTGTGAACGCAGCATTATACACACAAGATGTAGAGCAATACGCAAATATCTTTACATATGAAAAATTATTTAAATATTTAGGATATATATAGGATATAATAAGGATATATAGAAGATATAAATATAAAGAATTAAAATATTGCAAAACATATTATTTTCTAGCCTACATCAATATAAACACCTCCATGCCTTCTTCATCTCGGGAGGCTTTTTCAGTTTATTCGTGACGATTTGCTTTTGTATAATGTTATTATTATTAGCAGTATTTTTTATTATATCCATATTTATATTTGTTTTATTAAAAACAAGCTTAGATTTGTCCACCTGTCAGGTTTTAGACTATATGGGGCGCAGCATGTGTATTAGGATATAACTCAGGTTTCTGAGCACACTTCATTATTATTGTTCATTTATTCGTTTGCTGGAAATTAGAACTGAATCTAGGAATAGTTTTGATAATAATCTTATATCAAATAATAATAAGAATAATCTTTGCTCTTAACAAACTAAATTAATTATGTATAGGCTATTGGATGTCTGTGCGTACAAGGTTTCCTTATCCGTGAAAGTGAATAATTGATCTCGCGCTGCAGATGCTCTGTTTAACTGTTTTCTTGCTAGTAAAATGCTCAGTTTTTCCACTTACACTTACTTGACATCATGTAAATAGCAAATGCATCATGGCGCGACACAACTGACTCTTAAAAGGAAAGGGGGATGAGACTCTGATTGGTTTATTCTCAAAACACACCTATAACTCATTAAGAGAATAAGCTCAACCCTGTTAGACCATGCGCCACGGCGCAAAGCAGATTTATCCGTACTTAAATATAGCAAAAGTGGATTCTGACACGCCCTGAAAGCGTTTGCACCCTGCGATTTGCGCATAGACCGTCAAAATAGAGCCCTAAATATAAAGAGTTCAGATGCAAAAGCCGCTGAACGACACTTCCACCAAAAATGAGCTAATGACATTGAGTGAATACTTTAGGCACGTAGTACATGATCAACAAATAGATTTGCTTCAAATCATCTAAATCCCAGCGTCAGCACATTCAGAAATAACAGTTTGTAGGTGCAAGCTGTTAAACGCCACCTGCCTTTGACAGCATAAGCCGCTATATCCCGAGAACAAGCGAAAAGCTCAATACAGACTGTATTACTTTAGAAAATGCGGCATAAATTCGTCCTATTTGGCGTTTTAGTTTCTTTTGAACACATGCAGCTGCTGCTTGTCAATCAGACATGCTTCTATGTTCGTTCTTGCTGTCAATTGTGGGAAAAGTGATCGATGAAAGGTTTACGAGTTTGAAACTTTAACTGCAGGTGCTGTGTCATGCGAAGCGGAGTCAGATTTGTCCTGGGAGTCAGATTTTGATACAACACCTGAGCATTGAGCATGCAAACTCCACACAAAAAACACTGAAACTGACCCAGCCAGGACTCGAACCTGCGACCTTCTTGCTGCGAGGCCACAGTGTGACACCACTAAGCCGCAGTGCCACCCCAAAATATTTCATTTTGTAAAGTGTTTTTATTTTGAAACCATTTCCAGTTTTACAAATACACATTTCAGCATTATTACTAATCTGTGTGTGCATTGTCCTTAAAAACCCATCAAGTTATCTCACGATAACATTCCTAACCGCTTATCGCAATAATAACCTCAATAATTACTATATGAACAATTTCACAAATCGTGCAGCCCTAATGAGTGAGTGAGTGAGTGAGTGAGTGAGTGAGTGAGTGAGTGAGTGAGTGAGTGAGTGAGTGAATTTGTGTGTGTGTGTGTGTGTGTGTGTGTGTGTGTGTGTGTGTGTGTGTGTGTGTGTGTGTGTGTGTGTGTGTGTGTGAGAGAGAGAGAGTGTGTGTGTGTGTGTGTGTGTGTGTGTTCAGACTGCAGTCAGAGCTGCTTTCAGCTCATTCATCTCGTTCCATCGACTCATTTTCAGCAACATTTATTGGTCACACTTTACAATAAGGTTCATTAGTTAATGTTAATTAATGCATTTACTAACATGAACAAACAATGAACAACACATTTACTACAGTATTTGTTCATGTTAGTAAACGTTAGTTAATGAAAATACAGTAGTTCATTGTGAGTTCATGTTAACTCATGGTGCATTAACTAATGTCAACAAGCATGCACTTGGATTTAAATAATGCATTAGTAAATGCTCAGTTATGATTAATAAATGCTGTACATGTGTTGTTCATGATTAGTTCATGTTAGTAAATGCATAAACTAATGAACCTTATTGTAAAGTGTTACCTATTTATCGTTAAAAGCATACTGTCCTGATTGTTTCCACCTGCACTTTCCACAAATAGGAGAGGAATATCGTTTATAAAATCTCCATGCAAGGTCTAACAGAGTTCATGCTAAAAAGCAGCTGAATGTCATGTGTTGTTCCCCATACGTTCTGACTCTATATTACAGCCTGTATGTGGAAAGTGTGTGTGATGCGCTGTGTTTCACTCATCTTCACTGGTTGCCAGATTGTGTGTGTTGCGTCTGAGCGGCTCATTTCATCTTCTCCTGGATGCATTCGCTCAAATCTTCATCAAGACTCTTGTTGAGCATTCATTTCAATCTCATTCTCTGGATGAAGATGTGTCTGTGTTCTGATCACCTTCAGCATCTCTTTATCCAACCATCATCTTCATCAAGGATCATCATCATTATTGCTATCATCATATTCTGGGTTTTCTTTTCTTTATCGCTGCCATCGCTCTGATTATTCAGACGGACAGCGATCAGACGGATTTGGCCGGTGATGACGACGACACATCGCTGACGGAGGTGTGTGTGTGCGCGCGGCTCTTTATTCTCAGTATTTCACGCGCAATCAAGAGAATATTTTTGCTGCTTTTTCTAACTACTTACTTAAAACGAGCTGAAATGACACGTTCATTTATTTATTAATGTTGAGACGGGTCAATTTGAACAAAAAAGCATTACATTTACTTCACTGATTTGCGTTGGGATGGCATGACGGGTTTGTGTTGAAGCCAGCATTTATTAGCGTGCAGTGATTTTACATGTATTTTTCATGTTTTCTCTTTCACACAAACTCATTACAGTCTGACTTTGAGGACGACGCTCACACGAGGACACAGGTACAGTGTTTGCAGACCACAAAAAAACAGCCGAAATCTGATATATGAACATATATATTCACATACGAATTATAATTAAGATATTTGAGTGGTCAGACTTTATTTTAATGCACAATTCACGCTATTAACAGCATTGAATAAGACTTTAAGCTTTATAAACTTTTAATAAAAGTTAGTATTTAGGTTTAGGTGCCAGTGGTGTAGTGGTTAGTGCGACCCGAGTTCGATTCCACCTTGTGGTCCTTTGCCGATCCTTCCCCTCTCTCTGCTCCCAATGCTTTCCTGTCAATTCTCTCTGCTTTCCTGTCCAAAATAAAGATGAAAACCCTGAAAAAATAATTATTAAAAAACAGTTAATATTTTAATAACGGTCAGATATTAAGCCCTGAAGTTAAAGAGCCCTTATTGTGCATTATAAAAGGTCATATTTTGGTTTGGGGGTCTCCAACAACAGGCTCAAAGACTTGAGTCAGTAAAATGATCCGAACTTCCCATCACTACAACTGAGGCCAAATAGCAGCTCTAACACAACAAACAGCTCCCCCGGAGGAAAGGAAAACATATTCCCTACATTTACATACATCACTTTAGACAAACTATACATTTCGAAATGAATTGCGGCTGGGGCTGGATGTTTTGATGCATTGCAAACGGCGAAGGTGCATCGCACAGCACTTCAGGATGAGGCGTGAATTCATTTAGCTAAACTGCGACTAGGTCATCTTCCGCAAATATTACCGATGATTCGTCAGATAATGTTTTTCCCTCTCTCTCTCTCTCTCTCTGTTTAAAACTGTTGGTAAAGCGATGTCAACGAATATTTCTCCTCCACATCCCATAATGCACAGTGCATCAGACTACAGCAGCTGCATTAGTCTGAAAAGGCGCAGCACGTTTTGCGGTTGGGTCTGTTTTAGATTCATATTCTCACCACAAACGAACCGCTCCATGGTTCGTTTGAAAGCATACCACGACCATCTCTTCAAGGTGGTGTCAGTACGCTTTTTTTGGTCCACTTTTGGTGCACACTTGAGTGCGATTGCTACATTCACACCTGCCCAAACGGACCGTACCAAAAGGGAAAATGAACTCTACTGCAATTCAACCCAACTAAATCAGGCAGGTGTGAAAGCACCCTTAGACATGATTTGAGAATATAAACAGATACAGTACAAGCCGTGTGAAGCGATTACATATAACAAAACACAATTAAATACATAGTTTGCAAGGTAGAGAATACAAAGAGGCAGCTATATTAATCACATTTACTAACACTTGTAAACTGGAGGAAGGAGAAAATGATCCCTGAACTGTGTACTGACAAAGTCCCATACATCAATAGTCTTTTCCGATCCATCCCTTAACAAATGGCCGTTGCAGGGTAGATTATTGCATTAATCAGCAGAACGTTCACTCTTTAGTGTTTACTCCTCTTTAGTCATGATCAGCCTCACACACACATGCACTCTGCTAGCGTTTGAAAGGCGCGTTCGCATTTGACCAGATCCAGCACTTCATATTTGGTATTGTTTCGCGTTTATGTCGATACAAACAAGCTAAAAAAGATTCGTATGAATAACGAATCATTTAAACGACTCTGAGTTGAGTCTTTTATTTTAAACCTCGGCTGGATGTGTTCATTCACTCAGAGCTGTGCTGCACAATGCATGAAGATCATTCTCAAAAGCCCATAACAGGGGCTCTTTAATTGTTATAATTGGTACTGGTGTGTTTATCATTTGAATGCATTTGTACATGTTTGGGTAAGACTTTATAATGAGGTTACATTGTTAATTAAAAGGAATATAAGCTTCCTCAGTTGTTTATTTTCTGCTTTTCTCTGATGTCCGCTTAGAATAGGATCTAAAATGTAAAAAAAAACCTGATTAATTGTCTATAGTAGTTGTAGTTTTTGAGCCTCAAAGGAACTCTAATTGAATGGGTGTGGCCGTTTGTAGACTTAAAAGTTAACGCCCACTTTTCTGATTTGCATATTAACAAATAAACTGAGTAGAAGTGGGCATCAATCTGCAGTGGAGGCGGGGCCTATCCACCCTATTACATCATATATTAGAACACTCCAGAAGCTGTGGTTTTGTCTTTGATGTAAGCTAATATGAGATGTTTTATAACATGGTAAGCTCTTAGGCCCTGAGCACACTAAAATATTTTAAAATTGAGAGGAGGGCTAATCATTTTGACTTCAACTGTATATACACTTACTATTTTCAGGCACAAACCTCGCTATTAATAAGCAATTAACTGTAAATTTTACCTCAACAAACTCTTAACTTGCTGCTTTTGGATAGTAATTAGGCTAGTCATTGTGTTTATTGGGCCGGATTAGGGATGAAGAATAAGATTAAACACTAATCAACAGACAATATCTTAATAATGTGCAGGTAATAAGCCAGAAGTTAATAGTGAGAATTGGTACTTGAACTAAAGTGTTACCCCTATATTGTTATATCTGTGAAATCTAACGTGTGCATATATTGTCATATGTCAGATTTGAGTATGAGGAGGAGGTTTGATGCTGTTGTGTTGGTTTTCATCATTCGTCATGTGAGCAGAAAACCTCCTGTGTTTGGTCTGAACAGAAAATCATCATCAGTTTTCATCGTTTTGTTTATTGTCCCCCTCAGTTTCCCAGCAGTGTCTGAGATGAGCTTCTCAGAAGATTTCAATGTTTTTTTTGTTCTTGTGTTTTTCTAGTATAGTTTCATAAAGCGGATTAAAGGAGAGAATGTGTTTGTCAAGCACAGTAATCTCATGTTGGAGGTTTGTGAAGCATGCGTGTGTGTGTTTGGGTTTAACACTCATATGATCTGAATTCACATGACGGCATACAGTATGAGCTGATTTTGTTATGGGAAACTAGAACTACAGGAGGATAACAGCGCTTTGGTGGTTCATATTTAAGTTTTAGAGTTTTTCAAGACTTTGCATGAATTAAAACATTCAGAAGTGTTCTTAATATTTAACAAGTAATCAGGATGGTAAATTTCAAGAAATCACTAATGCATCCGGCTGCTTTGATCAATAAAGATACAGAGAAGCTTGTTTTTGCTACAGATATTAAAAATGTATAAATTAAAGTGAAATTCTCGGAGGGACACGTCAATTAAAAAATGTAATCTGTTGATTATATTGTGGAATATGAATTAACAATTGTGAAACAAATAAAAAGTAGAAATTGCATTGATGAATAAAAAAAACTAAGTGAGATGTAACCTAAACATTTAGTGGAAAAAGTCAAACAGCAAAATAAAATCTTGAAAGTTTTGGAATTGCATGAATAAAAGTTTTTTTCTCTTTTTCTTTTCAAGCAAATTGACAGATATTAAATCCTAACTGGTGACAGGAACCCAAAGTCATAATTTGTTAACACTTTACAATATTTTAGTTGATGCATTTGCTAACCTGAACAATGATCAATACATTTATTACAGTGTTTGTTCATGTTAGTTAATGAAAATACAGCTGTTCATTGTTAATTCATGTTAACTCACGGTTCATTAACAAGCATGAATTTGGATTGTAATAAAACCATGAATGTTTATGATTAATAAATAGTTCATGTTAGTAATTACATTAAGTGGTAAAACCTTATTGTAAAGTGTAGCCCATAGTTTTTATATACAAAATATTGTGTAAAAATAGAAGCAATTGCAAGATGTAGACTCAGATTTCCTAGGAAACAATGAAAAAGTCAGAGTTGAGATTTAAAGTGACAATTATGTTTATTCTTTTGTTAAATAAAAACGAGTTTACAAGATGTTTATAATTGTGATTCTGTGGAAGAAAGCTGAACGACAAAATGTGATCTTGAACATTTAAAAAATAAATCTGAATTGGCAAAAAAAATTGTTGAAACTGCATAGCAAAGAAATTTGACTAAAGTTAGCTCATAACTAAAAAAGAAAAACACACAGTTGTGTAGAAAAAGTCATGATCGTCATGTAAAAAGTGTCATTTTATACACTTTGTTAATAATGCATAAATTACTAAATTATTATCATTATTAAAGGCTCTACAACTATTGTTCATAATTAGTAGTAGTGAAACCTTTTTTTAAAGTGTGACCCATCATTTTATATACAAAATATTGTGTGAGAGCGTGTAATAATAAAAGCTATTGCAAGATGTAGGCTCAGATTTCATAGGAAACATTATTTTTCTTTTGATAAATAGAAATAGGTTGCAAGATGTAAAAGTTACAAGTTTATAGTTGTGATTCTGCGGAAGAAAGTCAAATGACAGAATGTGATCTTGAACATATAAAAGTTAAATCTGAATTGGCAAAAGAAATAGTTGAAATTACATAGTAAAAAAACAAACCGAATTGACTTGTAGCGATCTGACTGGGTAGGGGTGCCAACTTATATATTTATAAGTAAAAAATTAAAAAAATAATATTTATAAAGTCAGTGCTACCTGGGATACACTAGCAGTGCAATAACCCTAGTAACCCCTTATAGAGCTAAAGACAAAATAAATCAGACTAAATCAGTTTAAATTGCATTCTACTATTATTCAATCAGGTCTCCTTACAACCTCAAAATAACACTCTATACATGTTTTACAACAGAAAAATTTTCAAACCCATTCCAACAAGCGTTTGAATAATTCAACCAATCAAATGCACAAAACAAAATAATAATAATAATAAATATAATAAACCAAATAAAGAGGTACCTCTGTCGACTTGGAATTAACTTGATCCATGCACAAGATTAAACCACTGATTCACATCAATTTGTTAGAACCTTACATTCATTACTGTTATACAGAAATTCAACGTTAGCTTGTAATTGGTAGAGGAAAAACTCACAGTTGTGTAGAAAAAGTCATGATCGTCATGTAAAAAGTGTCATTTATATTTTTAATACCTAATAAAAAATGTCAGAATTTCAAGATAAAAATGCAAAGAAAAAGCAATTCTGAGGGGAAAAAAAGTCACGATTGTGATTTTAAGAAAGTTTCAAGTTTATAATTGC